ATCATTACTGTTTCATTAGAAACACCGACGCAGCTCACACTAGTTTTTAGCTAGTTATATCTTTTTACCTTAGACCTAGGGCAAACGTTGAACTTACATCAAAGAATGCCGCCTCATTATCACCTGGTATCCATTGTTTTTAATGAGTTCGGTGCATGGAAAGTTCGACGTTTGCCCTAGGCCTTAGATGTAATGTTTCAGACCACGTGTCATTCTGGAGAATGCGATTCTTTCTTTGTCGTATCCTTATTCATGTGTCTTCTGATGTGCAGCCGTTGAACAAGGAAACGACACTCTCGGAATAACACGTGGTCTGAAATGAAAAAAAAACAACAACACCCAAGCCAAAAAGGTGTATTGAAATCTATCTTAGATGAAACCCCTCCCCCTCCCCCTAGATATAACCATTGCTGGGTTTCAATCAGCTATTAAAAATCTTTGAATCTCAATATCTGCTCCAAATTAATGCTGGTCAAAAACTGACCACCATGTGCTGTCAGTCAGAAAGAATTCTATTGAAAAAATCTGCATGTGACAGAAAATGACGTGGGTGAAACCAAGCAATCGTTCCTTGACGATGTAGCTACTAAGAGGATGGACTGGCATGCATTGCTACTCGGTTGCCATATTTATTCTCGATCATGAGAATAAGGAAAATTTAACCCAAATGAATTTATTCTGAAGGACATGAAGTAGTGAGGGCACGCGTGGTGGAATCAATTCGTGTTCAAACCAACATGGCTGCCGCGTGAAAAAATTCCCTATAGAGGCTTTGCACCATCTCGTGATGGCAGCCATGAAAGGGGGCATAACAATAGAGTATTTTCCCCCTGGGAAACTGAATCCTTTCTCATGTAAATCACATTAGACCAGAATCAATCGTTCCTGCCCCCTGTCATGGTTGCCATCACGTGATGGTGCAAAACTTCTATTATAGTACCAAATTTTATTATTTTTCTTTTATTTTGATGTTTGTTTTAGTGACGGTGTTGGTCGTAGTGGTACGTTGTGTACAATCTTGTCTCTACTCGACCGTGTCAAAACCGAACAAATGGTGGATGTCTTCCAGACTGTGAAATCACTGAGAATATCGAGACCTGGAGCTGTGGAAACTGCGGTGAGTTTGTTGTCATAATAATATAGCTTCTAATCCCACCCTCCCCTCCCTTGATTAATCTCTCATAGCGCTCGCTTTACTTCAATATGAATTGGGTTTGAGTTCCGCTGGGTTCGGTGTCGTATGTGAGTAGAGTTGCTTGTTGGTTCATAATTCCTACCCTTTGCACCAAACGCTGTTAAATCGCTAGTATATGATACTACAACATAATGGAGTGTGAATGTGCTGGGTGCCTGGTGGACAGCGCTAGACCATCTAAAGTAGATGTAACGTAAATTTGGATAAGTTTGAATACAAATGTTGGCTGTCCAACAAGCGAGAGAAATACATTTAGTATCACACTAGCTTATATACTTAGCGTATATTTGCATAACTAAATGTCATATGACTAAAATATTCACAAGGGAATATACAAGATAAACATATTCACTTAACGTGATCAATGTGCTACGAACCGCAATGAACACGCTTTCCAAATGCACGTTGTTACGTTGGAAAGCTGTTATTTCCTGTGCTTCGAGGGTTTGTCCTTCCTCCCTCCGTAAAAATCAACTTCTAGGAAATTCTGATTGGAATTTCAATGAATGAAGAGCCACTCTGTGGAAGGGTTACTGTTAAATCCTCTTATTACATTTATTTATTTATCGATTTTGTTTGACAGAAAAAATTTCGTTTTCGCTCACGCAATACTCAAAGTCTTGTTTCTAATAAAATTAATTTATCATCGGTTTATTTCCCCTTTTCTTTTCTTCAGATCCAATACCAGTTCTGTTTTCAAGTAGTCATGGATTACCTGGAGTCCTTCAGCGAATATGCAAACTTCAATGGTTAAAATAAGGGCATACTAGACATCTTTACCTTGTTGGGTGTAATGTTTCCCATTTCAGGGCACGTGTCGTTTCATTCAGGGTATCATTTCTTTATTTAGTGCTACACACGAGAAGACACATGAATACGCATACGACTGAATCAACAAATCTTATTCTCAAGAGAATGACACAGTCTAGAATGCAAAAACATTACGCCAATTGCAAGTTAAAATCATCTATTTGACTTGAATAAGCCCGGGTTTATATAATAATACATTTCTCTCATTTTTAAAAGGGTATCGGCTACTTAAACGTATAAATGTCGAGCGGATGTCGTTTTAAATGAATTATTATCTGTTTCAATGTTCCAGCTGCAGGCAATGTTTCCGGCTCAACGTTTACGAGAGAGAGAGAGAGAGAGAGAGAGAGAGAGAGAACAAACGGCATTGCAAAAGGATAAGACAGATTTGGATTTTAACTGAATTGTAAATAAAACTACTTTGAATCAACAAGAATCCTATGCGACGGAATAAGCAGTTTTCAAAATGTGGATTCATCGGTGGGAGTGGTTGGGGCTAACTTAATTCTTATCATCTTACGCTTGATTTCCTCTAAAATAACCTAAGGCGGCTGAAATACCAAAAAAAAAAAAAAAGAATCATCAATTCTTCGATTGCACGTTACATCATCGCGGCCATGTTGGTGCCATTTAACAAAAGATTTCCCATTAGCATCCATCGTTAGYGGCACCACGGTGGCCGCCATGCTTTTGTCTTTGGCTCTCTTGGGAATGCTTGACATCCATCAATATACTTGAGGGGTAGAGGTTCGGGCTGATTAAAGCACCCCTCCCCCCTCCCTCTCCACCCCCCTCCCTCTCCACCCCCCCTCCTATAGTAGATCCCTCGCCTTTAAATAAAAATAACTAATCAAAATGAATTCGAAAGGACAGCCATGTGTATAATCGATAAGGAAACAGCTTACCTTGATCTTGAAATAGATTAAGTGTTTTTTGCAATAAATTTAAAACCGCGTAATTTTCTTGTCTAATAATTTATTCGTACTAAAAAAACCCTCATTTTAGGTCATTTATCTATTTTATTTATTGAATATTCTGTTATTTCGAACTCCGTGTTCCAATATCTTTACCAGACTAATAGGCGCAATTGATCAGCATGCAAGGTAAGGAAGTAAGGAAGCTTTTCTTATTCAAAATTATGTTATTCTGAACTCTGTATCCCTATATCCTTACCAAATTACCAGGCGCACGTGTTCAGACATGCAAATGAATAAGAAAGTTGTGTTCGTCACGAAGAGTAGTATATAGAGAGGTTTAGTGGCATCCATATCACACGGTAGGAACCATTCAATAAATAGAGGATATTACATGTGCGCGCGGAAATCTTCGAGTGTTGAAAAGATTTTCAACACGAGAAGATAAATCTCGTATCTCCACGCGCCCATGTAATATTCTGTTTGTTATATAATTATTCATAAAATCAACTTAACAAGCTTTTTATTATTATGTAAAGTTTTTATTTATAAACTAATAGCTTAAATACACATGGTAACGATATCAGTTTTTCACGGTAAAAATATCAGTTTTTCGAAAAGGAGATATGTAGCTATTTTATGGATAATTATATGATAATGTGTTTTTTTTTTGTGCAAAAAATCAACTTAACAAGCTTTTTATTATTATGTA